CTGTGAAGCCGGAGGCATTAAAAATATTTTTTTCAAATTGCAGGCTTTGTGATATTCAGTAATAGTCGCCTATTTGACTTCGGGTTTCACAAAGGGGGAGGGGAATAATTAATTAATAATAGTTAATAAGTTGTCTTCTGGCTTACCATTATCTCTGGAATTCCGACTTTGCCATTTGGACTGGACATCGAATCAAGTAGCACTCCTCCATTTCCTCCTGTAGTTCACATAGAGGACATGTTGGTTGAATGCATACGTGACGCAACCAGTGCATTTCAGGTAAGTACTACTAAATTTTGATTAGGTGAGTTGTTAAAATGCCTTAAACTGATCGGAAAGCGAGTAAATTGACAACAAATTGCGGGTTGACGACCTTTGAATTAAAAAGTCTTTCTACCACCAATAAATGAAGTTGAATCTGGCTTAATTTGAAGTTAGTACCTATGATAACGCATAGTGAAACACCTAACAAGAGACAACTACAATTACCCGAAGTTTCTTCCAATGAGAAATACCTCCAGTATTCCGATGTATTCTTTTTCGTTGAATCGCGTTTGCCCAACCTTTCTTCTACTTTATGAATAACCATTCACTTTCTCGCCACGCTCACAAGTTCCACTCTCCCACTCATTCGCAATTTCTCTGTAAACGTAAAAGCTCTCCAATATGCAAAATAGCAACTAGCAACCGAAATAGAGCAACTCTCTTCATTCAGTCCCATTAGCTAATTCCAATAGTGCTTTTTCACATAAAACAGGTCGGATTTTGCAGTAAGAAATGTGCTGAAGATGCCCAGAATCCAGAACATTCAATAGGTGGTGGACCTGGTCATCATCTGTTCGATTGCGGTGGATTGTTACCATGTCTCCAATTGGATGACCTTTTCATGAATTCAGAGGAGTTGTTTGAAACTACTTCCCACTCTCATTTGGCGTATACTTGCATTGCAAATACTTTGCCGAAAACTCTCCTGGATTATTTATGCTCTACTGGAAGATACAGGGTAAGAAACTGCTCTGGTCTGGTGTATTTGGAATGCCATTGCCATTCCTATAAGATAATCACATTTGAGAGTTATTATTGGTGAATTGAAGTAGTACGGCAAGGACTGAATCTTGTACTGACATCATCATGGTAACTTGGACATGCTAGATTTATTGCTAAAAGTGGTGTGTTAAATGTCCAATTCTCTGTGTTTGCCGAAAGCAATGATTAGTTATGAGCAATATCTACAGGTTAGCTGATTTAATGAAAGGTTTCAATGTTATCGTTTAACTCGTTTGTGGATTGGCCTTCGAACAGTACTATAAATAACAGCTTCGGAGTACTCAAAGTAGGAAGGAGGAGATTAGAGCAGTCACTATCTTTTCGGTTGTTGAAATAACTGAGGAGTGTACTTGTGCAGTCAGTCAGGAGTTAACTTCTGAGCAGAAGTGGGACATCTGAAACAAATATCCAGCCTTAGTGTATGCGCAAGGACCCAGTGTTAATCTTGCCTTGGGACAGATTAAGAGTTAATAATCAGTCAGCCCGTTGCGTACCTCATTCGATCTTTTCATCCAACTTCTTTTACGCACATAACCAGATCTCCTACCGCCTTCTTTCTCTTCCTCCATTACTCTTCCACTATTCCACAATATTGGTGTTTCAGTTCAATTCTGTTTCCTCTTGCATCTGACGAGAATAACACTCAATTGGACTTAACAGAATGGTAGATGTTTGGGGAGGGGCGGTTGGGGGGGGGGGGGGGGGGAGGGATAGAAAAGGCGAGTGTTGATAGAGCAGACTGGGTGAAGTTGGAGTAAGGATAGAGGGGTTTATGTATGAGTATAAGTTGCAGAAAGAGATATTCGAGACATCGAATAGTCAAATGAGAGTATGAGAAGTAAATTAGGAAGAAGAAAGTTGGCAATGGTGATAAAAGTGTTGTAAAGGAAGGATAAAGAGCTTTCGGAGCATTAAGTGAGTTTACAAAGGAGTTCTAATATCCCCAAGTCGTGTGAGAATACTTTGACTCAAGCCTGAAAGCAAGGAATATAGCAAACTTCAGAAATTTTGTAAGGCGTTAATGGCTGAAATGATCTTTTAATGAATGAGCCCTAGCAGAACTAAAGCAAGCAATTGCTATTCTAGTGGCCAATCGCATTCTCATGTTCCAACTTTGCAAACATGCTTTTATAACTCCTGCGTTTTATAGAAATCAGAAGCCAGACATCCAGGATTTGTAAATGCTGAAAGAGACTGCTCGAATCCTCCCATGGAATTCAATGCCAGTGATTATTCGTCAATTGCATGGTCAGAAGAAGGGAGTGGCAAATTTACGAGAGAAGAATTATGGCAACTCACTGTCAATGCCGTGTTTCTTACATATTGCCTTTCAGTAGGTGCCTGTTCACAATTGACAAGACCACTTGTCGTGACAATTTTAATCAATGTTTAACCTTTTCACAGTTGAGTGGATACCCCATGAAATGGTTTGACGAAGCAAAGAAGAACTTCTATGAATACCCCTCCTCCACAAATAGACCAGCTAGCATTCCTGCAAGTTGGATTGCAGCCTGCATGCTATATCACTTGAAAGCTGTACCGTTCAGTTCAACTGCTTATGTGGAGTATCAAGGGCACTCGAAAAAGGTGGCAATTGCACAGTGCATTTATCCAACCCCAGCCCTCATTAAACACTCCTGCAATCCTTCTGCCTCTCTAGTGAATACTGCAGACGGAGGGGTGTTTGTCTACGCTGTGCGTTCACTACGAGCAGGTGAAGAAATCTCCATCACACTCGGACCCCACTTTGCTGAAATGAAGGCTGATGAACGAAAGTCCTTTCTCAAAATGCGCTATCGATTTGATTGCTCGTGTGAAGCCTGTTGCAATGAGTGGCTCTTGAGGGAGGGAGAAGAGTTGATCAAATGTCCTTCATGTCAACACCTCAACATTAGCCGTGCTAATAAGTGTTCGCGTTGTAAGGAGAGAAGTGGGATTAGTATTTATAAACTTCTGATGGGAAAGGACATGCAATTTCTTGCAGATTGCGTGGATAGGAATGAATGGAGCAGCGAGAACATACTTATGGCATCTACTATAGTAGAACAATTTCAGGCACTTTTGTCACAGCCAAGTTTAACCCTTTGTAGAGTTATTCATATATATGCAGATTTAGTTGCGAATGCGCATGGCGTCGTTACTTCCGATCCTATATCAAACGTTGATGAGAAAATTGCTCACATACAACTGTAACCACTTCGTCCTCCTGTCGGCTTTCTTTACCTGAGACTCAAGCTGTAAGAGTTTTCGTACGTGAAAAAATATGAATTTGGTTAAACTGGTTTCTATATTCAATTATTGGTCTGGAAATATAGGAACGATTGATGAATAGCGTTTCCGTTTGTCCACCAGCCAGAGAACAAAGAAGATCAATCGATTTTAAGCAAATGAGGATGAGTTGTAGGCAGTGGAGAAGAAGACGGAGGAAGACTGTAGTGTAACGTTGGCAGTTGCCCTCGGTTGTCGATATGCCGACATGTGTATTCATGGCTAATATTCACGAGCCTACAACAACTTTGCATTTAGGATTCTTCTGTGTAGACATATGGTGTCTTTATGGCTTTGCGTTCAATTTCTAAAGCCGTTTAGTAAATCAGTCAACTCAGTGGGTGAAAATAGGCTGTACAGTGAAGGTGGTTTGGTGTCTATTTAAAAGTGTGTGATTGGAGGGATGGGTCAGGCAATCGGTAAATAAGTGCAAGGTAGTTAGGTGGTGCTGGTAGGAAGGAGACGACTGTTTCTAAAAGAAAACTGTTTAGTAGGACTGTTGGAGGAGTGAAAATGACATTCCAAAGTGCAATGGAAATGTCGTATGATGGTGGTGTTTTGTATGCGATGGGTGTAAATCGGTCCTGAATATACGTGGGTACTCGTGCCTTCTATGAAGTCCAAAACGGGTCGAACCGCTGATGGAATTGCTGTAGTTGTTTAGAACTTGGCGAGTCTTCTCAACTTATAAGAAGCTTTTTCACTGATTGTGGAGACGCATACGACAGAAGGGTCGTTGGACGTCCAATTGGGATACACGACGAGTGATTGCAACAGTGGTGTTTAAATGGAGTGATTTTAGATGTACAAGGAGGTCAAGTTCTGAGAAGTCACAGAGGAGAGGACTCGAAGTTGCTTGTTGGTTGGTTCATGAGTTTGATGACGACATTAGAAATGGAGTTGAATACTCGAAGAGCCATCAATTTGGACAAAGATAATGGATAAGAAGAAGCTGTTTGATAGTCATTTTGTCAGTAGTTTGTGTTAATGTGCGAAATTTCAACTGCCGATTGTGAAGCCGGCATTATCAACTCTTTGAGGCTAATGAATAGTGAGAGATAAAGGCGTATTCCGTGTTGGATAAGCTCCGAGAATGAGAGGAGTTAAAGGGGGTCGATTTGTGCTCTAGTGGAGGCAGGCGCTATACTTTGGAATTTGTTTTCACACGCCTTAGAGAGGAAAAATCAGTAACAGATGAGCACTGTGACACAGGTGCTATCAAGTGGATGTGTGCATTTTGAAGCATATATGTTCCCAAACACCTATTTTCCCCAATATTCAGGATTATCGTAGCTCCTAATCAAGTGCACTGCAATAGAGTGTAATAAATAGGACCTAAAAATATTGGAAGAATTCCTTCCTCTACCATCACGAACAAGGAACCATTCATGAATATGAATGAAAGCGCAGTGACATTTGTTTGACATTCACCTAAATGCACTGTGGCCACCTTCAAATTGGCATAGAATTCTTTTACCAATTAAAACACACATTGATCGAGAGAGTAATGAGGAGTTCACTTTTGAAAAAATGCAATTTGAGAAAATGGAGATGAGTGTGATGCATTCACTAGTGGATGTTCACCTATTAAAAGTTCTTATACGGCATTTGAACTTGACATGAATGGCAGAACACCTCTGTGAAGCTTTAAACTCATTCAAGTCAGTATCACCAAGTTGTTTCCAAATCATATCTAGCAATGAGTGCTGCATTTGTGGAACCATCTTCTCTTCATTTCCTTAAGCAGTCTTGAATTTGGAGTAATTATATGAAAGGTGGGCAACAGACACACACTACCACGCCAACTGTCCCTCCCTCCCATTCCTCACCTACTCTATTACGCTCAGTAGCATCATTTTCACCCTATTCCTTGCTAACCTTCTCTATTTCACTCCAACGTCTCTCTCCCCATCTCCCTTGGTTTATATTACCATTTGTTCAGAATTCAACTTTGACCTTTTCCCTTTTTATGAACTATGGTTCTGATGTATATGCTTCCACTCTTGCAGAACCACTTCCTACTTCTTTCCATATTTAATTGTTGGCGACTCCAAACCGAAGTTCACGAAGTGAGCTTTCTCTTTGAACGTTTCTTCCTTTGAACTATTTTGAGTGTGCACCAATTTCTCTTACATTATCAAATTGTACCCACCAGACACGTGACTGCCAAGGGATTGGAAATTTTCTAATTTAGTTGATTCGTCAGCACACAGTTCAACGAGGACTAAGAGTGAGATAATGATAAGCCAGAACTTGGCATGCAATCCATTTCAATCCCTCGTGGCCAGAGTCGTTAGTGCCATTGCGATTTCCCACACTTTCCCACGACGTCTCACACATTTAACAAAAGGTCAATTGTTAGCCAATTGAATTCCAATCAAATCGACTCACGGATTTACTGGCTGACTGAGTATTTTTACCAAATGCCCCTACCTCTACTACTCTTTGACAGGGAGAGAGTAGTCAACAAAGGACAATAAGTGAATAAGAGAAAAACGCGAGTCTCTTTGCTTTTGTATTTACCCTTTTCAGTAATACTTTAGCATCTGATTTAACCAAAGCTCATAATGTGCAAAATCAGACATAAAATGCAAATTAAATAATAGAGCTAAATTTCATCCACATCTGTGAAAGGAAAGAACGTGTGAATGCGATTGGTCGACTGGTTCCCACCGGTTCTGCATGACTGGAGTAGGCAGGAAAGGAGCGTGGGCAGCTGAAGAGACCACTTTAGAATACTCCGAAGCAACCACAGTGGGTAAAGATCGAGTATTGGAGTTTCTCCACAACCCAGACTAAAAGGCTGGAGAATATGAGCTGCCACCGAATCAGCCACGTATTTCGGTAGGGGACGTGAGAATCCAAGCGAAGAATAGACTTCCACTCGTGATAGCCACGACACCCAGTTGGTTGCAAAAGCACTCACAGTGAGGTAACGCAGAGTACTGGGTGGTGGACACTTACTCGTTGAAATGGGCACTTGAAAAAAGGGGGAGAGAGCTTGAAGAGGGCTCATCCAAAGGACTCCAGTCATTTGTCCGCTTTTGCTCTCATTCTGCTGCATTAGATTTGTCAGTGGGGACAGCGGAGATAGTGACTAAGAATTCAAACACAGTAATGAATCCATTGTTGCAGTGAGTCTGCTTGGAGTAAGACCACTGACTTACCATGGGGTCCAAGAGTACGAGGTTTTCAAGATGGGGATTCCGTGTGCAGTAGTTGCACACATCGTGAAGCAGACGACCGGCACTAGCTCGCCATGGAGGCACTTGGATATGTGTTGTACTCAACTCCACTGATTGTTGTGGTGCGAATCGAATTGGCCACCTTGTTTGCAAAAATACACACTTCCAATTGGCATATGTATCTTGATTCACGAAGTCAAAAATTAACTGCATTAATCCAGTGCAAAAACTGCACTGCTTCATCGAAGGGCCACATTCAAACAAAAGAAAGAATGAGTTGCCATCACCTGGATCTTCGTTCTCAGAACCCGTTGAAACCGAGGCAATTTCACACTCATCATCATTACTCTCTTTAACACAATTCGCCACCTCAGACACCCTTTCGTACACGTTTTCAGTGTTGATCAATCCAACTAATG